GCTTTGCGCCTTTCCTGGAGCTCACTTGGTAGCCCAGGCTGGCCTCGAACTCACAGAGATCCGCCTGGCTCTGCCTCCCGAGTGCTGGGACTAAAGGCGTGCGCCACCAACGCCCGGCTTTTTTTTGGTTTTTTGAGACAGGGTTTTTCCATATATAGTTTTGGTGCCTGTCCTGGATCTCGCTCTGTAGACCAGCCTTAAACTCACAGAAATCCGCCTGGCTCTGCCTCCAGAGTGCTGAGATTAAAGGTGTGTGCCACCACCACCCGGCTTGAAGACATTTTCAGTATCCACTTGTAGTGATATTTTGACTTGTCAGTCAATAAAATTGTTTTTTGTCTGTGTTAGGGGGTATTGAGACAGGGTCTTACTGTGTAATAGGGTTGCTTGGCGCTTGGAATCCGCTTGCCTCTGGCTTCCAAGTGTTACGATTATAGGTGTGCACTATTGGTTCTTGAGTTTATACTTTGACTGTACCATGAGAACTTCTGGTAGCTAACTGATTATGAACTTTTGAAAATGATGGAACAGTTACTGTTTACCATTTAATATTTGCTGTCATGTTGCTGTTAACTATTAGAACATACTAACACCAACAGTGGCTTTCTGATGTGTTTGTTAGTACAGGATCCAATGTAACCTTAAATGTAACTTCAAATTGCGTGTATGGACTGGGCAGCTTGTGCAGGGTGACAGTGACTTACCAGACTCACCTCATTATTACACTGTGTTTTTTTTGTTTTGTTTTGTTTTTTTTACCTCCAAACCAGGTTGTTCTGGCCCGAGAACTAGCTACTTCCAGAGAATATGCTAGTAAGTACTAACTCCAATGAGCTGTGTGTCTGGGATTCGGGGGCAGGGCCACTTTTGTACATATGGCAGCCTGGATAGTGGTAGGGCCTATGCTGATCTTAGTCAATGACAAAGGTTAGTCTTCTAGACCATGAAAGCTTGAGTGGGTGGTTTTGGGAAAACTAGCGTTTATGTCAGTTACCTTTATAAATTTACTATTTTTCACATTTTCTAATGTTAGTAAACTCACTTCTCTCCTAAGTTAAAATTCTGGAGAAACGTCATATTATAAAAGAGAACAAAGTCCCGTACGTAACTAGAGAGAGAGATGTGATGTCACGCCTGGATCACCCATTCTTTGTGAAACTTTACTTTACATTTCAGGACGACGAAAAGTTGTGTATCCTTTGCATCGTCAGTGCTGTCTGAAAAAAAAAAAACACTTTGTGTTTTAGATTAGTGACTACATTGTTTGTTCCTTGAAAGGAAAGGGCACAGCATGGGTCCCTGTGGAGACTGATATCCCTGGTGGCAGCAGACAGTACCAGCACATGGCTGAGACTCTTACCAATGTGCTGTTTCTGAAGGGAAAACTATCCCACAGTGTTGGTGTTTATCGATAAATATTGTACCTAATAGACTGTTGTTTTAGCCGTGGTTGCTGGACATTGATGCAGAAATGTCCCCTCATTCCCCTAGCAAATGCCCCAGAGTATCTGTTAGACATTATTGACTCCTGCTTTTGGAAAGTGAGGGCCTGAGAGGAAAAATGATTTTGGGCCTCCTCAGGCACCTAGAGTTGTCATCAGCTTCTCCATACCTTCTTCCATCCTAAGGTACTGAGTTCAGTCCGAAGAACAACTTGACTGGGCATTTGAGAAGCTCAGGAACTCAGAGCGCTATCCTTCTGGAGCTCTGTCTACTGGGCCTGCTCAGCCCCTCCAGCTCCTTAGGCCTGTTTAGACTGCCTCTCCAGCAGATTCACTGTGCATGTATGTTCATTGTTGTTCATCCACATCTCTCTTCTTTTTCCTACTTTTTATTATTTATTGTTTAGAGAAAAGGTTTCTCTACATAGTGCTGACTGTCCTGGAACTCACTATATAGACCAGATTGGCCTCAACCAAGATCCTTCCGCCTCTGCCTCCCTAGTGCTGGGATGTGTGAAGGAAGGATCACATCTCAAGCCAGGAGGCAGAATAAGTAGGTGTAGTTGGACTTGCTTCTTTCATGGCAATATTTTTTGGAGAATTTCCAGTTACCAGTGAGTTTCAGGAGCCCAGTGACCCTGCTTCTTAAAGACCCCCCCACCTCAATAGTCCACCATCTGGAGACCAAGCATCTAGTCACATGCATCCTTGAGGAGACACCAGATTGTATCAAGACTGTGGATAGCCAAGACAGAATCACACATGCTTGACTTCATCTTCTGTCAGGGTCATAGTGATAGGATCAGAGCTCAGAAGCTAGACCAGAATGTCCTTGCTGTGTGATTTCTAAATGAGACTGGCCATTTCGGTTCAGGTGGAAAGAACTCTAGGTCTTTGTCTAATGGCACATACTGTTCTTGGTATAAGACCCAAAAGGTCATAATGGCTCCCCCACCTATCATGAGAATGAGATCCAGTGGCTTCTGCCTCACTGTTAATCCTCACTATACATTGTATTGAGAAAGAAAAATGAAACTTTTTGCACAAAGAAATGCCCAGATATGGTACTGTTCTTCATTTAGTCATAATTTCAAGTGGAGGAGAGGAACTAGTCCTTGTATATTCGCTTTTCATTACTCAAGAGACGCAGGATGAACCCACATCTATTCAGGACAGGTGAGATGAGGCAGAGCTTGGGGACACTTCCGCCATAGACTGAAAACAGACAGATGGATCACACAGGGACTACTGAGGGTTCTTCATCAGATTTAATACAGGGGCCTGGGAAAGTGAGTCCAGAGGCTTGATCAAGTTTAGGGTTTCCCTATCTTGTAGTCCTGGCTTGATCAGAGCCAGTGGGGGAACCTTCCTCTTCATACACAGATGAAGACCAAAAAGTTCTCAGACATAGGTGCTTTGCACCCCATCATCTTTAAACTCCCACCAGACCAGTGCAGCATGGAGTCAGGACCACAGGACTGGGTTCTAGTCCTGTACATTATTTGCTTTGTGAACTTGAGTCAGTTGCTTAATCTCTCGACCAGGTTCCTCCTCTGCAAATTGCACACATTGGGCACTTAGGCTCCCTGGCTCTGTGAAGGCACTTGGTTTGTGTCTGCCTTCCCAGGGGCTCACCCAGTCCGTGACAGCTTTTGCTGCCCTTGACTATTTCCAAGCGGGTGGAGGATGTTCTTAGGATGTACATAAAGTCTAAAAAGAACATTCTGGAATAGGGAAGGATGTGATTGCAGAGAACTGCAGCCTGAGAAATAATCCCAGGCACCTTCTATGTTTAAGACAACTTGTCTCTGATTCTCTCTTGAGCAGAGACTCATAGGTGTCCCTCTCACAGGAACCAGGAACCAGTGAAGGGTCAGTTAAAGGATAAAACCATGAAGCCAGAAAGAGAAGTTACTCCTTGTACCCATACCCCATGGCTGTGGCCTTATATCTGGGCTCCTAACTGGTGAGGCCTTGCTGCCAGCCAGTGTCAGGCTAGAATTGGTGGCTCTATGGCATGTCCTAGGGTGTCTACTGACGTGATAAACACCATGACTATGAACAACTTGGGAAGAAAAGGGTTTATTTCAGCTTAGAGTTCCACATTATAGTCTGTATCACTGAGAGATGTCAGGGCAGGAATCTCAAGACAGGAGCTGTTGCAGAGGCTGTAGAGGAGTGCTGCTTACTGACTTGCTCCCCATGGTTTTTTCAGCCTACTTTATTGTACATCCGAGGATCACCTTCCCATAGTGGGCTGGTCCTTCCCACACCAATCACTAAGAAAATGCACTACAATGCCGGGCGGTGGTGGTGCACGCCTTTAATCCCAGCACTCGGGATGCAGAGCCAGGCGGATCTCTGTGAGTTCGAGGCCAGCCTGGGCTACAAAGTGAGTCCCAGGAAAGGTGCAAAGCTACACAGAAAAACCCTGTCTCGAAAAAAAAAAAAAAAAAAAAAAAAAGAAAATGCACTACAGTCTTACCTACAGGCAAATCTTAGGAAGGAGTTTCTTAGTTAAGAGTCTTTCTTCTTAGATGATTCTGACTTGTGTCAAGTTGACATAAAACTAACCAAGACATGGCATCAGTCTCCCTTTTGAGGGAGACAGGATGCAGCTGGGCTTGCAGAAATGTCAGACTTGGTCTGAGTTGAGAGGCACAGGTAGTCAGAGGTGGGCCTGGCCGGGAGCATCTTTACCAGCTTTGGTTGAAGCCCTGTCTCTTCTGGGTTTGTCTCCAGCCCCAGAGCTTCAGGCTCCCTCCTTGGTGGCTGACAGGAGTGCTTTGGCAGACAAAAAGCCAGAACAGAGCAAGAAGTCTGCCTTGGCTTCTTGTATGAACTTCAAACTTGGCTTCAGAACTGCTGCTTAGTTTAGTCAGCATTTTGCCCCTTTTGTCCCAGGCTGCTAGAGAGGTGTGGTACCTGGAGATTTCCAGTAAGAAGCAGGAATGTTTAGTGCTTTGGAGGAAAGCAGTCCTTTGGAGCTGTTTCTTGTCAGTGTTCAGTCCCCTTCGAAGAAAACAGCATAAGCAAGAACATATTGCAGCATGGAGCAGGGTGTGTGTGGCAAGGAGAGGTTGTCTATTTCTCATCTCCCCAGCAGGTATTTCTGAAATAGATCAAATGAATCAGAAAATTAAAGTTGTTATAAAGCATGCCACTCTCATGCACAGGACTGTTAGCACAGCCCACGGAATGCAGCAAATTCAGGCAAGGGTCACAGTGGAAGTCACTGGGGCTCTGGTAGGACTCTGTCTTCAGAGCTGGTTCTCCTGCACTTCAAAGCTGTCCCACGTGTTTTTAGTACCTTGACCATGGCTTATTGGTCCAACAGCCATCTAGAGGCTTCCTTTCATAAGCCACAGAGGCCTCTGAGTACTACGTGTCTAGAAGGGCACCTGGGCTGAGGTGTTGTCCATGTGTTTTCAGGGACTGTGTCATTGTCTTAGAAATTCTGTGCTGGCACCTGGTCTTGGAGCTGGGGTCTGGATCTGCCATGAAAGGGCAACTATCTTGATGCATAAGTACCTTCAATTTGCATTTGATGAAAAGAAAGTTCTTATGGGGCTTTTAAGTTTAACTTTTAGAAAACAACAATATATTTTTCCATTCTTCCTTAACCACAAATGTTCAGATTTTGGCCTTAGTTATGCCAAAAATGGAGAGTTACTTAAGTACATCCGCAAAATCGGTTCATTTGATGAGACCTGTACCCGGTTTTACACGGCGGAGATCGTGTCTGCTTTGGAGTACTTGCACGGCAAGGGCATCATCCACAGGTACAGACACTGCTCCAGATGGCGTGCGTGTACAGCAGGGTCCCGGTCATGATGGGCAGTGGCTCTGAGGCACACAAGTAATCCACACCAGCTCTCTGGGGCCAGCATTGGCTGGCTTTCTACAAGTTATGATGTGGGTATTTCCAGGTGATGGCTCACAGAGAAAGCTGAAAACAGGCTGAAATGAAAGGAACCTGCGCTTTGAAAGCTCATGTTATAAGTCATCAGTTCAACTTGGGTGAGGTGTCTTCCTGTGACACTAGCAGATCAGTTATCTGGTGGTTTTTATTTTGTCAGTTGTAACTCTTGTATCTATTTAATTGTGGTCACATTTTTTATTTCTTTGTTTTGATAAAGGCAAATTAGAACTGTGGTTTAAGAACTAAAAAAAAAAAATTAAATAAAATGTTACTAAAAGTGGTAGATGAAGTGGAAAGGGTGGCCATGGAAGCCAGAGGTGTTAAGATGTTTGTAACAACTCACCTGCTTAAAGATAAAGTGATAGTTATAAAATGATTTTTGGATGCCTATATCCTATGCTGTTGATACTTGTTTGATGTGAACTTTGGGCTTGTATTCTTGGTTTTAGTCTGTAAAGGAAAAGATTCATCACTATATTGTGTTTCCATCAAAATGTGCAGTATGTGATAATGCTGCTACTTTTAAACATTTCTTCTCAAAGGTAAAATTCTACTTTTACAGAGACCTTAAACCAGAAAACATTTTGTTAAATGAAGACATGCACATCCAGATCACAGATTTTGGAACAGCAAAAGTGTTATCTCCAGAGAGCAAACAAGGTATGCTTGCTTGATTTTCAGCAGAACCTTGTTCTGGGCTTAAGGCTGAGAGCAGCTTTGAGCAACATGTTTCATTGTATGGTTTTTATCACTAGTACAGAGATTCCTTTTGGCTCCTCCAAGTGTGTGAAGTCTAGTAGTAGGGGAAGAACCAAAGGTAACTCTGCTAGTTCTTGTTCTTGCTCCATAGAATGTATGTCAGGTCACTTGTGAACTAGGGGTAGAGTTGGTGGCATCTATATGTACTGCAGGTGTGTCTTGAGAGCACATCCCTGGACTCCACTGCCTTCCTCTCACCCATCCTTCTGCCTTCCCATCTGATGTATATAGCTGCCTGTGATGGCCCATGCATCCTCAGAAAGACTCTAGGAAAATTATACGAGCAAGGGTTAATTTTGCCTATTTATTCCAAGTTCTGTTCAGAGTTAGCACATAGTCTTGGCTCCCATTGTGCTACCTTTACTGTCGGGGAGGTGCTGCTGAGAGTTTATTTGGGCCAGAAAAGTGGGATGGCTTGCTGTCCTTCTGTCACTAACATCCTTGGTGGATAGAAACTGCCCACTCTGGAGATATAAAAAAAGAACAATTAGACTCCTGAGGACTCCTACCACAACACTGAGTAGAAAGACAATAATCTACTGCTGATGCTGTCTTGAGAGAAGGAAAGCTGTCTGGTAGGTTAATAAATGACCTTGCAAAGGATCCTTGATTCTGAGATGCATGTGATTCTTCTGAGCTGCCTAGCCTTTTTGCCTATTTTTGGGGTCTCAGTGAGAAAGAAAAAGACCATTAGGGAAGGCATTATGGGATATGGTTGGCCACAGGTTTAGAGCACAGTTGTGTTAGTGGAAGAAAGAGTTTGATAAGCACTTTGTAATAAGTGATTTTATGGCTTTGGCTACTTTTTGGAAAAGAGCATGCAAGAGCACAGTGCAGTAGGCTTCTGACCTGTCTCCACAAACAGGAAGCCAGTACATGGGAACCAGAGAGGATTACAGCTGGGGCTGAAATAGAGAGTCTAGGTAAGGAAACAAGTTCTGTTCCGTGGTGCTGTAGGAGATGGCCTGTTGGTTTCCCTTCATGGAACCTTGCATTTCTTTCTGCTGATCCCATACATGTTCTTTGCCTTTGTACAGTCCTCCTGTACTGGTAATATAACATCTACACTGCCCTCTGGGGATGGCAAGCCTTGCCTTTGAGGAAAGAGACTTTCTTGGGTGGTGTAGTAAATATTGTGCCCTTGCTGCCCCTTCTGTCATTGCTAAAATGCCCTGATACCTCCATCTGATTGACGCATTCCTAGTAAGTAGTAGTCATCTTTCTGTCCAGCAATGCTGATTTTATAGACTTGGTATAACCTCATATTATAGCCTTGAACATTGTCCATTTTAAAGTTGAACCAAATAGCCACTCTGTCTCTTTAACTCTTTCTAGTGGGGAGAGTCTGTCTGTTTTCCCATCATGCCTGTGCTGACTTTTCTTGCCCAAAACCTGAAGCTAAGATGTGGCTGTGATCCTGAATCAGTCTTAAGAGCTATTCAGCTGGGCTGTGCTTTAGACATTTTCTTCTTTGTGTAGCTTTTCTTCAGAACCTGATAATTCAGCACAGTTCTAACCTTTAAAAGTAGAAAAATATAACCCTGCTCTATCTGCCACATGGAAGCTGAGTTCTCATGCTCTTCAGGGGCCTGGAGTGAATGGGAAGGTGGACCCCCGATGTGGGTTCAAAGCATCTGGTGTCCACCCTGCAGCTTGCAGATGAGTGTCTCATGGGCCAGGACCATAGGTAGTGGAATGTAGATGGTCCCTGGGCTGGAAGCCTAAGTCTTTTTGCCCTATATCCTGAATTCCCAAGTTAGTGATGACTGAAAAGAGGATGGTTCCTGATCTGCAGCTATTTATTTGTGCCTTCTGTGTGTTCATTGTGTATTTAGGTGCCACAGGTCCAGCAATGAGCACCACAGACAAGACCTCTGTCCTTACATTGCTTTGCTCTAGTGGAAAGATGATGGATGAATGTGATGAGTACCTCCTACAGTTGGGTTTTAGGTAGGAGGTGCCAGGTGGATAGGGTGTAACAGGTATCCTTAGTAGGGTCCTTTGGTTGCTCGATCTAGTCCAGGTGACCAACTGAGCTGACAACCAGCTCCCGTCTTCTTTAGTTAGAGGTTGACACTCTGAAGGATACACAAGAGGGCCACAGAGTGGTTGGGGGGCCAGGGATTACATTTTCAAGTGTGACCTTTTCTTTTTTTCCCCCCCACTTCTTAGCCAGGGCCAACTCATTTGTAGGAACAGCACAGTATGTTTCTCCAGAGCTGCTCACAGAGAAGTCTGCGTGTAAGAGGTAACCTGTTTTTAATACAACTGCCCCTCTCTTCTCTCTGTGATGTCTACTAGGTTTAGTCATGAGGAATTGCTATTTGAAAGAGAGACTTTAGTAAGTCTTAAATAGCTGAGTATGAGCCTGGTACAGTGATACATCCCTTATAATCCCAAAGGATGAATTAGTAGAATCATGAGTACAAATCCAGTCAGGGATACATGGTGAAACCTTGCCTCAAAACAAACAAAAATGATTGGGCATGGTGGTTCATTCTTTTAATAGTAATACTCAGTCAGAAGCAGATAGATTTCTGAGTTCAAAGTCATCTTAGTCTATATAGCAAGTTCCTAGACCAGCTGGGGCTACACAGTGAGACCCAAAGAAGGTAGTCTTCTGCTTAATTTTTAAACATGTACTTTTCCTTTGACATGTATGCATTCTACTTTTATAATTATAATTTATAATTCCTTGCTGGTTTTTTTTTTTTTTTTGGTAGAATGCTGGTCATCTTTATTTAGGGAAGCTGTCCAATGGACTAGTATGGCTGCTGTAGGTCATGGGTTCTTTGGAGGTGAATAGAAGCCCTGGAGAGACAGAAGGAAGAAATTTCTAGCCCAGGGCTTATAGTCCTGGGGTAGGCTTGGCAGTGATCCTAGCATTGAGGTTTGTTTGACAGATGCAACTGAATCTTAGTGGTGGCCTTAGCCATGAATATCAGAAGCATGGAGTGTGTAGAGTGATCTAGAGACCGGCACTGGAACAGGGTTTTTTTTTTTTTTATTGTTGTTTTTTGTTTGTTTTTAATATATGTGGGTGTTTCACCTACGTGTATGTCTGTGTACCATGTGCATGTGTGATATCCCTGGAGACTAGAAGAGGATGTCAGATACCCTGGAACTGGAGTTATGGATGGTTGTAAACCACCATGTAGGTTCTGGGAATGGAACCAAGGTCCTTTGGAAGAACAATCAGTGCTCTTAACCACTGAGCCATCTCTCCAGTACCTGAAGCTTTTAACTGTTGCAACTGGGGGTGGAGTATGTTGGCCTATAGTGAATGAAGGCCAGGGATGTCACTTAGCATCCTTTATTGTGAAGAAGATGATCTGGCCAGTGTCAGCAGTGCCAAATGGTGGGTGCTCTTTTCCAGTTTCCCAGTGTATATTGTTGCTGAAGAACAAGGCTTTTCCTACTGTCACCTCTTCCTAGTGTGGTGAGTGTGTCAGCACTGATAGGAAAAGCAGGGAGCATGCACATACATGTTTGCTCTATGTAGTTCCTGTTCTCCAGGATATATAAAATGTGAGTGGAGTCAGAACAGTGTTTTGAGGGAGCCATCACTGTGTCTCTGGATTTTGAATTTTAAATCTTGTGAAGTCACTAGAATATTAAGGATCTTTTAAATGGAATGCCTATAAATTGTAATGAACTATAGAAAATAGTCTCTCTATATATGTTCCCAGATAATTTGTATTTTTCTTGTCATTTTTTTGGTGCATTTATGAACGTTTGAAGTTTTCACACATGTGCAGTCATACAGTATACCCAGTATGAGTTCTCTTGCTTTCATGATAATTAAATCACCGATTCATTAGAAGTATCTGTATACATTTTTTTTCTGTTGCATGAGAGTTAATTTATTGAGCTGTCCTGTTCCATGGGTGGTGCTGATTTGCCTATATATAATGATAACAGGCACTTGGCCTCAGGGTTACCCTCTCATCCCTCTGATAAAACAGACAGAAGGGGCGTGGAGTTCCTGCTTCAAGGTTTCAAGACTTGCCCCATTTGAGACTTTAGAAAGCCTTTATATGCTGCTTCCAGAGCCAAAATGCAAATGACAGAATGCTGAGATAGTTCAGAGGAGAAGCTAACCTAAACCCTTAACTGCTTGAGTTCCCACATTCTAGAGAAAACCCTGGGAGGTCTGGGCGATTTGGCCTTCTTATACCCTGGCCCTTCTGCTTCTGTTTGCTACTTGATTTTTTTTTTTTTTTTTTTTTGGCTTTACTCCCTGTTTTACTTAGACAAAGCACTAAAGAAAACCAGGTATAGAAAATGGTAAGCTCTATACTAGAGAGACAGCTCAGTGGTTAAGAGCACTGGTTGTTCTTCCAGAAGGTCCGTGTTCAATTCTTTTTTTTTTTTTTTTTTTTTTTTTGGTTTTTCGAGACAGGGTTTCTCTGTGTAGCTTTGCGCCTTTCCTGGAACTCACTTGGTAGCCGTGTTCAATTCTTAGCACCCACATGGTGGCTCACAACCATTTGTAACTCCAGTCATTAGGTAGGAAGCCTTCTTCTGGCCTGTGAGGGCACTGCATATATACAGTGCACATATATGCATACATACAGTCAAGGCATTCAAGCACAGAAAATAAAATATATTAAAAAGATAAAATAGTGAGGTGGGCATGATAACATTCCTCTTACTTGTAGCAGTTGAGGTAGAAGCAGGACAATCAGGAGTTAAAGTCAGTCTTTGGCTCTAGAGGTAGTTCTAGGCTGTTCCTGGGCTGCATAAGACTTTGTTAACTGTTAAAATCTGAATTCAAGCAAAGTAGTTACCAACTAGTTATATGTAAAATAATGTTTTATTTTGCCACACTGTCAAATCTCTAACTCCAATTGCTAAGTTTTAGAATTATGCTCCATCTCCGTGCCTTGCCTGTCCTGGCCTGAAGGCGCTAGTGATACCAGGGCAGAGACAGCCTGGCTCTCAGATTGGCCTCTGTGGCTGCACTGCTGTCCTGAGTGGTGGCTGTTCATATCCTGTGATGACAAATCTCTGCTGGCATCCCACAAAACCCGCATGCACCTAGTACTTGGAGACAGCTGGAAACGGGAGGCAAAATCAGGTGTATCACAACATCCCAGTGACCCAAGAGACCACAGGAAAGCCAGACGTGCTAGGAGAGTATTGTGACAGGAGAGGGGCCAACCTCAGGGCTCCTGATAGCTGGGCACCTGGGACACATCTAGGTGCATTGTAGAAGCTACTTAAAGATGTCCAGGATGGTGCACGTGTAAGGCTGAGACAGGAGGGTGGACTGGGAATCTTGAGTTTAGGGTTAGCTTGGGCAGCACAGTGAGACCCTGTCTCAAAAAGAAAAAAAAATACAAATAAAATGGATAGTCTAAATGTTTTTAAGAGAGGGGCAGGACTTTCTTGACAGAGTCAAAAAAGGGAAGGACAGAGGACAGAACATGTATTGTGTATATGTCCTTTTAGGCCCCACATGCATCCGGCTTTTGCATCTTTTCTTAGGTGAGCACAAGTCTTGCCCAGAGAGCATTTGAGTTAATCATAGCAATATCACCCTACAGCGACAAAGCTATCTCTCCCAGCTCCACTTCCTAGCACCGGGAGCTTCTCCCTCAGGCCTCCTGAAGTTGCAACTACAAGTTGCATTGGTTAGCATTCTTCAACTCCCACCTTAACTGATAGGTAGCAGCCTGGTGTGGCATGATGTTGGCAGTGAACTATGTTCTCCTTTCAGAATGAGACAAGGACATGTGTAGAAGTTGTTAACCTGCAATAGACATCTTCAGGGGAGCTGAACCTCGTGGTAGTTGTTCCTGCCAAGTATGGTACCATTTGACTCAGGTCACAGGGAGATGCCCAGAAAAGCAAATTCAAACTTCCCACATATCTAGTCTTAAGGGATAGGCGTACATTGGAGGCTGAAGGTAGGATGGTATAGACAGAGACTGTAAAATGAACCTTATTTATCATTTAAATTATACCAATGCCATTTTTCTTTGTCTTTTCCCTACCTTAAAGTTCAGACCTTTGGGCTCTTGGATGTATAATCTATCAGCTTGTGGCAGGACTCCCACCGTTCAGAGCCGGGTAAGAGGAATTCTGTACATCTTAGGCTTTTGAGCCTATCATAGCATACCCCACTGCCAGCCGCTTCTGGGAGATCTGGACAAAGGTTGTGCCCAGTAGGGAGGAACTTCCACCATAACTTAGGAATATGTGGTGCTTGAGGTCTTTAGTAAGAGCTGGCCTGGGAGGTGAGAGTGACATTGGGTTGTTCTGTAAAAGTACACCTAGTACTAGAGATTTGAAAAACCCTTGCTCAAATAACAGCATTTTTTTAAATTCACAGAAATGAATATCTTATATTTCAGAAGATTATTAAGTTGGAATATGATTTCCCAGAGAAATTCTTTCCTAAGGCAAGAGATCTTGTGGAAAAACTCTTGGTAAGTATTTTGAATTTTTTGTGGTGAGGGATCAACATAGCTACCTCCTCTGACTTCTGTCGCACTCATGGGCATTCTTTTGAAAGATATGTTTAAGGTAGACAGTGATTACAGATAGTTAGATTTTTTTTTTCTTTTTTCTGTTTTTTGAAACAAGATTTTTCTGTGTAACAGCCTTGGCTGTCTTAGAACTTGCTCTGTAGACCAGGCTGACCTCAAACTCACAGAGATCCACCTGCCTCTGCCTCCCACATGCTGGGATTAAAGGTGTGGGCCACTACACCCACCTGGCAACATTTTTGTTTTCAATAGTAAGCATCTCTCTCCCTCCCTCCCTCTCTCTCTCTCTCTCTCTCTCTCTCTCTCT